AAACACAATCGCTTTTCACTATTGACTAGTATAGCATTCTATATTTAACAACTTATATGTAACAAAATATATTTCAATTTCAACTTTTCACAAAAAAAATTGTGATGAGGATAATGTCAACATAAATTTACAATAAAATAGGAAACAAAACATTTTTGCAAGATTTTTGTGGCTGTCGCTGTTTTTTAGTGCTAGGATTTTTACGAAAGTTTCTCCGGTGATTGTCTTTTGGCTAAAAATTAGGATTATTGCCTATCCTGCTTTGGGTGACTCGAAAGCTAATAAGGTAATGAGTAAAAAAAAAATATTTGGTTAACTGATATTAGAAACTGATGATGTCTACAGGTGTGATGGTCTAGTGCATTAGTATGTACCGCTCGGTCTCGATATGTTTTCCCCCATTTCAAATGTGGTGAATAGAAAGCTAAACACACTCACTTCTTGCGCTTATGGGCTAGCAAATCAAAGCCAAACGTAAGACTTACATAATTGATTTTAATTGATCGACCGCACACATTAAGCCAACGTAGGCCACACAAATAATCAAGTAATTTTAGGGCTTCTAGTTTCTTATAAACTGGTTTCTTATTCAAAAAAAAAAACAAAAAAAAAACGTGTTTATACGTATTATAAAGTGAAAATATAAAATTAAAACGTTATTTTATGCTAAATAATAATAAAGTTATTTAAACTAAATCATAAAGAATTAACGTAAGATAAGTAAAGCTAAAGTTATTTAAAGCTTTAGACGACTTTACTTTTTTTTCTGCTTTTTTTTCTTTTTTATTTCTTTTTTCTTACGGCGCCCCATGACCTAGTGTCACCCATAGGCTGCAATCTATGTTAGCTCTTGCCTAAACCGTCAATGAGTTCTTATACTTAATGTTTGTTGAAAAAATTCAATGTACAACAAACACAATACACTATACAACAAATATAAATAGTGTAAAATTTATAACAACAAAATATTATCAATGTTAACATCCTATAACTTTTCTGTCTGTAAACAATACACAAACAACAACAAATTTAAAATCTACGTAATTATAAAATAAATAGTTTAATATTTGTTAACTAATTAGGTTTGTTTACATAAGTATAATAATTATTTTGATCCGTTCAGGACGGCTTTCAAAATTTATATAACTAGCCAGCAGATGTTCAATAGCACATCTATATAACAGCACAAAACATAATAACTTTTTTCTGGCTTATAATAAGCTATATCCTATTATAGGCCAGAATGAAAATTATTATTTTTTAAGATACATTTGAATTTACCGATTATAATAATCAACGGAAAATAAAATGTAGTCTAACTAAAAATCTGATTTTTATGGCAACCGGCCCACCGGGAATTTCCCGGTATCCCGGCGGCCCAGTCCAAGCCTATCTATAATTTAAAATTTATAATGTGGCTAAATCATGTGTTTTAAATGTTTCTTTTTTTTTTCAACATCTTTACTTCCAAAAAGGGTGTAAGCAATCACTATTAGAGTTGGTACTTGTAGTACATTTAGTTTTAACAGGTATCTCTCAAAGGAAAGCAAGTGTATCATATTAAGTTCCACAATCGACTCTGAAAACCATGATCTGTAGAAAGTCCAAAATAGGAACAACACCAAGGAAAAAAAACCAATGCTAGGTGATCTTGAAGAAAAACTAATTGATTATGCTGGCAATAGTGCCCAAATGAGAATCGGTTTCGGAAAAAATACATTCATCATTTATGCTGCCAAACTTGCTGAAAAACATAACAATAGTTTTAAAAATAGTCAACCTGTAAAAAGTGGTGGTAGTTACTTAAAAAGAGACATGGTTGTGTGAGTCTTTGTTGTCCAGAAGTTACATCTTCTATACGACACATGTGTATAAATAGGGTTAAAGTTTTAATATATTTTCTTTTTCTTTAGTGGTTCTAATACATAACAAGAATTTATTGGACAAGCCAGAATTTATGTGGGACATGGACAAAGCAGGGATGCAACTAGACCATAAACCAAGACGTGTTGTTGCCACAAAAGGCTCAAAATACATTCAGAATTGAACAAGTGGCAACAAAGAGACAATTACTGCTATATGTGTCTGAAAAGGGCTGGATAAAACGAGGTATTGCGGAGTTATATTTTGAGAAAACATTTCTTCCAAATATTGGCTCAGCAAGACCACATATTTTAATCCTAGATGGGCATGACTCACACAATTTTGTTGAAATAATCGAGCTGGCTATTGTAAACCAAATTAAAACTGTCTTTATCTGTTTTTAAGCCACTGAAAACTGCTTATTCTGAGGTCCGCCAAACAATAATGAACGACTACCCAGGTGTAGTAGTATCGCATTCTAACTTTTGTGGTTTATTTTCAAAAGTGTGGATATAAGTTATGTCTGATGCAAATATACGCTCCAGATTTTGAGCTTGTGGAATTTATCCGTTTAATGTAGATGCTATTCTTAATGGGGCATACATTCCGAATATTTTATATAGTCATATTTCAGATTCTGTTCCAGTACAAAATGTATGTGACTTGTCAATTCTAAACAACCTTCCATTATTGCCTGATCTATTAGAGAACAGCTATACAATCAACTCACGAACTTTAATCAAACCAGTAGAAGAAAATGAGTTAATTAATTTTTTTATTCAAGGCAAAACTGTGCAATATTTAAATATTGTTACAGAATACAGCTAAACAAAAATGAAACCAGTACAAGAGAATCAGTATATTAATTATTCTGTTTAAGACAATATTGATTTAAGTATTGATACAGAAATTCTTGCATATCCTTCTCCACAAATTAAACAAAACAAAAAAAAACTCAAAAAACTCTAATTTAAAGTTTTTTGTTCTGATCTCAGAGGAGGCTTAAAATGCAAAGCTTGAAGATTGGGCTAGAAAGGTTAAATAAGAAAAATTAAAAAATTAAAGATTTTGAAAGAAAAAAAAGAAATTTCAGTGCTCCTATTCAACTATTTAATATGTTTCCTAATTTCCGGCAAACAAATGGTTAAGATGGCGAGTATTTGGTAAAATTGTTTACCTTTTATTATCTGCGTTATATATATTTTTATGTTATTATTATCACAAAAATTTTTATTTTAAATGACAGAAACTTCTCTAAAATTTGATTTATAATATGTAACATATACTATTTTTCTGTAACGGGCGTTTCTTGTAAAAATGTGGCGTAGTTACCTTATAGTATTTACAGAAAAGAGAAAGAGAAGCAACATTACAACAATGTGATAATGGTTTGCAGAAAAGAGAAGTAACATTATAACATTATGGTTTAAGGTTGGCAACAAGAGCAGGTAGAACTATTTTTACATTGCGTTTTTTAGTGCTTAACGCTATATCTAAAAGAGAAAGGGCATTATCGAAAGATCCGCCCCCGATATTGCAACAGTATTCCATACAAGGTTGGATTTGAGATTTAAAGTGATAATAAATAGAATCTTGAGTAAGAAAGTTGCAAGTACAATAAAGAGATGTAACCTTAGCAGATGCTGATTTTCTCATTGGTTTGATAAATGGTTTCCGAGAAAGATCGGAAGTAAGAGTTAATTCTAGAAATTGATAGGGTAGATGAGTCATTGAGTACATTACCATTTATAAATATAGAAAGTTCAAAATTATTGGATTAACAATTGGTTGAAAAAAATTGAATTTTATTTGAGTTAAAGTCCACTTACTATTGAGAACCCTAAGCTGTAGCAGAAGTGAGATCCTTTTCAAGCTCAACTACCCCTTCCAACCAATCATAGAGTGTTGGATTCTTATCAAGACAAGAATAAATGGTAGAATTGTTATGCTACCCTAGATGTGAGAATTTCTTGGAGATTGTTAATGTAAATTAAAAAGATTGTAGGTACACGGGTAGAGCTTTGTTCAACCCCTGGAGTTACAGGATATGAAGAAGAGTGCTGTCTATTGAGGACAACTTTTATACTACGATTGGTAAGGAAGGATTCAATAATCTTAAAGATGTTACCTGATACACCGTAACAAGAAAGCTTATGACCAGAAAAGACCAGCATACCAAAAACTTTAGAAATGTAGAGAGCGATAACCGTAACTTTTCCATATCTGTCTACTGTACAATAAAACCATTGGTTATTACCGTTAACAAATCAGCAGTAGAACAAGAAAACTAAAATCCATATTTAATATCTTAAAGTAAGTTATAAGATTCAAGATGAAAGATTTAGTGTTGGTTACTTAAAGACTCAAAAACTTTGCTAATGATAGTAAGAAGAAGAATAATAAAAATAATAAGAAGACAAATAGGACAGTTGTTAGACAATTTAGATTGCTGTAAAAACTTGTATAATACATTTTATTTAAAAAGTATTTTAAAAATTTGCAAACTAAAATTTTTCTAATATAAAATAATTTGATGAAAAAAGTATGCTTATTTACAGATAATTTCAAAAATTTATACTTTATACAATCATAACATCACGACATAACACTTTATAATATCATGCCTTAAGTAAATATATTAAATGAATTTTAAGTTTTAAATTTTAGTTGATGAGATGACTTTTATTAACATAATCCGACTATTTGATGAAACTATTTTTATTAGCATGGTCCTACTATTTGCTGAAATTATTTTTATTAACATGGTCCTACTATTTAATAACATTTTTATAACTTGATAAGATTACTTTTATTAAGGATTTTTCAAGATATATTGTAAACACCCCTGATTAGTAAAAGAGTTTCAATTGCTATATTGGTAGCATTTCATTTCAAAAATTAATGATTAAATAAGTTTTTACATTAAATAGTATATTTTTATATTTAATGAATAAATAATTTCTAATTACAACAAAATGAATTTGAAAAATTGTATCATTTTATTCTTGAGAATAAAAGAAATCATAGTTATAAATCGATAAAAAGTGAAATAAAAGTGAAATACCGAAGAAAATGTTATATGTAATAAAAACATTAAAAGAATATTCTAGCAGTAAAAAGATTCTGTTTTATTTTAGGAAACTTATTCCAGATCCGACATTTATACAAATAAAAAAAATGCTAACAGTTTTATTAATTTTTATCCAGATATTATCCTGTGCTGGTAAAAAATTTTACTTCTTAATTTAAAATTTTTTTTTTATTTGTATTTTAATTAAATTAATAAAATTTTTTTTAAAACCAAGCTAAATTTGAACTTTAGGTATCATTCAAATAAATAATGTAGTTACAGATAATGCTTACACGTTAAAACCGTTAAAAGTAACAGCATCTCCTGGTACTGTTGTTGGCGTTATTAGTGCAAGTGGTGATGGGTCTGGTATTATAAACTATTTTATTACAGATGTGTTTTACTACCCACCTGGATCTCAATCATACGATTCAGGAACTGGAGGTTAGTTAAAAATATAGTTATTTATCAAAATTATGGAGATAAAAACTGTAACGATGCGTTTATGATAAGAATCGTCAACTTAGTAGGTTACTTTGTAAAAAGTATTGGAATGACCGTTATCATTTTTGTTATCATTGTTGTTTTAGTGTCCGTTTTGCAATGCTTGCACAGACTCGACGTTTCAAAGGGTAAAAAGCGGAAATAAAGTATAGAAAATTCCTCCATATCCAACCATATTGCTGCCCCAACTCTAAATTAGTTAATGTATTTTACTGAAGCCCCCAAATACCGAATCCTATTTTTTCAATTTATTCCCGCACTTTACCCGTTGAATTGCAATCCTATGAAAACCTATAAAAAGTTGCTTTGTTTAAAAATATTACGGTTAATAATGTAATTTTTAAACATTGAATTGTTTAAAAATTAAACAAATTTTTGTATCATTTTATATTGATTTTTATCAATAAGCTGTTTCCGCAAGAGCTGTTCTCCGCATTTTAAGTTTGGATTAAATAAGCGAGTTCAAGTACAAATAAACAGTTGAAAGAAAATTAAACAAAATTAAAAAAAAAAGATCGCAAACTGTATAACTTGAAAAAGACATAGAGACATGCTAAAAAATTAGTAAATACACGGCTTTTAAGCGTGAGGCAACTGTTGCAATAGAAGGATGCAACTTTGTTAAATGGCAATACACTCAGGATTGTTCTTTGGTTTATGGAATAAGAGATAATAACTTTTGTATAATAACATAACTAGTCTACAATTATGCATATTAAGACAACGTTTATGTATTGGAATGACAGCTGCACACCAAGATAAAGGAAAACTTTACACTTTTCCCAAAAGCATTTTTATAGAAAAGAGAGAGATGCAACTTTACGAGTTTTGGGACAGAGACTCTAGCTCTAATTGGAGGGATCTAGCTCTAATCAGAAAAAAGGGTAAACGGATACAATACTTCTCTTCTGTGGAACTGAGTTTGCCAACTCAACATGATAGATAATTTATGTTATAATTGATTAAACACATTATTCATAGTTAAAACTAATAAAATATGATTGACTCGAATGCTTAAAGAGTCTATTCTCAAATATAAATTATGCACGAAATAAAGTATATCGTGGTGTTGGTACTTAATTTCATAAAATGCACTTATACTCTAAAAACCTAAAGATATAAAAAGCGCACATCTTTAATAAAATTAAAGTCTGCACATATGGGTGTATAGTCTGTACATATGGTTGTAAAGTCTTTAACGTTGTTAAAGACTAAAGACTAAACGACGCTTAAGAATAACACCCATAGTTTATATAGATATGTGTTATTAGTAGAAACAATATAAAATAAATATTCTACAAAATAAAAAATTCATCTTTTTTTGTGTCTAATACAAAACAATGGGAAAAAGCAGATAACGAGATTAAGGTTTCAACTCTAACTTTTTATTAAGAATTATTGTATTGATTTTTTTTTTCCAGAAGCTTACGTTCTAATCAATTTTTTTTAAGCTGCTTTTCGTCCGTCATTTGCAACACCAAATTTTCCTGAAAGATTCGATTTCTCTTTCTTGGAAGGAAGTAGCATGTCAAAGTAGCTTGTTTGGCAAATAGCACGAGTTTTTTTTTATGTTTCGACAAATAACCCGCGATATTTACATGTTCTTTCTTCACTCTTAATGCGGTTTGTAGCCTTTCTTTTTTGATCGAGTACTACGTTCCTTTTTTATATTTTTATTTAATAAAGTATTTCTTCCTTGACTGCATATACTGCATAATATCGAACAATCAGTAAAGGTTTGTAAGCTAGACAAATCAGCATTTTTCTATTTTAGAGTAACTATGTCTGCAATAGTTTTACCAGCCTTATAGAAGTATAAATTTTTCTTACAACCTGAGCATAATCCTGTAGGTTAGGCAAATACTCTGAGTGAAAACTCAGGATTACAGAAAGCTTGAACCAGACATTCCAAACTTTTATTAACTGGAATGCATTTGTTTTTCATTTCAAGGCAGCAACAGCAGATAATCTTTTGAAACTGTACAAGATCTCTTTTAAAATGATATTCTCTACTTTCCTTTGAGAACAGAGGAGCCATAGATTTAATATATTAGATATCTATAGTAATATATGTAAAATATATAAAAAAAATTTGCAAAAAAATATCATCTTTTTTGTAATGAAAAGAAAAAAATAAACTTATTAATTTAAATTTAAAAGCTCAGTAAACTAAAGATTATAAGGTCTGCAGAAAACTTATATAGGAACATACTTGTCAATCTTAAGTTTACTGAACTATTAAATTTAAATTAAATGTTTATTTTATACTTTTTAGTACAAAAAAGATCATATTATTTAGAAAATGTTTTTGCTATACTTTACTTTCTACTTTTTAGTCTTTTCGGAGAGTTACGTTATTTAGCAATGCGTTTGTCAACCTATTTGTAATTAAATCGAGCTTTTTATCCTTATTAAAGAAAGCAATATAAGTCTATTTTAAAAATCAAAAGATTTGTTAATAAAAATTTCTTTCTAATACGACTTCTTCTGTCTTTAACTCTAATATACCTTTGTTCTTCCCAAAATCACTTTACTGGTCGAAAGCCTGCCTCTCGACACAGAAGGCACGAACAACGCTAAATATCACACTTATGGCATTGATGAACTCCGGATTTTCTTAGGTAAGTATAACCTAGTTGATGTTTTTCGTTTTAAATACCCAAACAAAAGAGAATTCACGTGGCGAAATTAAAAGGTAAAATGTAGACTCAACCGAATCTTCTGCCCTGATAAAGTCGCCAAAAAAAGAACATCTACTAAAATTCTCACCAATCCGTTTTCCGACCACGAGTTCGTGACAACAACCGTCAATTTTAGTAAAACTAGGAGAGGACCAGGATACTGGAAATTAAATTGCTCCCTTTTGGAAATAGAGGTGCATAGGCAAAAAATTGAACTCTTAATTCAAGATTGGCAAGCAAAAAAACGGTTCTACAACTAAATTTTAAAATGGTGGGATGACTGCAAACTTTTTTATAGGGTTGAATTACAACATATATCGATACAGGAATGTTCGAAAACAAAAAACAAATGAAAAGGATTGAAAACGAAATCCAACGGGAGCGACAAAACGCTAACCCGAATATAGATAGCATCAAAGAAAAACGCGATGCTCTTTTCTTGCTCCAGTTTCCAGGAGCGTTTATTCGCACGAAGCAAAAACTAATCGAAGAAGGAGAAAAACCTTCAAAAATTTTGTATAATTTGGTAAAAGTTCAACAGTGGAACAAGTCAATTACCGAAATTCGCAAGAATGACGGCACATTGACGACTTGGTGAAATACTAAACATCCTCGTTTCATATTACAAAAACATTTATACCAAAACGAGTTTATGCAAAGACAGCCAAAACTATGTCTTGTCACACATCACTAAACATTTAAGTGATGATGAAAACCAAATTTTAAATACCCGCCTAACTGGCGCGGAACTAAAAGAAGCCCTTTTTTAATTTGAAAACGGAAAATCTCCGGGACATTTTAGAAAAAGATTTTGAAGAACTTGCTTACAAAATACTTTTCGTAAAAAAATACCAGCCACTCTATGAAAAAATCAATAAATTCACTGATTCCCAAACAAGGAGATTTTACCGAATGCAAAAACTGGAGGCCGATATCCTTAATCGGCGCTGATTACAAAATAATCACAAAAGTGCTAGCCCTAAGACTTGCAAAAGTAATGGGGAAAATTATAGAACTAAATCAAACTTGCGGAATTCCAGGTAGAACAATTTTCTCAAATTTACATTATGTGCGTGATCTAATAGATTATGCGGAATTAAAAAATCTACCTAGTTTCATTTTATCAATAGATCAAGAAAAGGTGTTTGACAAAGTCGATCGTGCATTTCTGCTGCAGCTTCTCCAGAAATTCAATCTCGGAGAAAAATTTATATCTTTTGTTAACACTCTATATTACGAAGTTTCGGCATCATCAAAGACTATGTTGATAAATACGTTTGCAATGTCAAAAGTGTGGTTTCTGCCAAACGTGCTGCCCATTCCTGAATAGATCATAGAACGTTTACACAGAGCCAGATTTGAAAATCTGTGGCAAAAGACCAATTTCAATCCGGTCAAAAGAGAGACACTATTTTTACCCGTCAAAAACGGGGGTCTCGGAATTTTATCACCGAAGGAGCAAAGCCTTGCACTTCGCCTCAAAACACTATTTCAGCTGAAAGAATGCGGTGAGGATAATACTCACAATTACTCCTACTTTTTAAAGTACTGGTTAGCAAGTTCATTTATAAAGTTTACTAACCAAAACCAAAGCTGGAATTTTTTGAAACAAAACAATTTTCCAAAATACTGGGACAACAAAATGTCTCAGTACTATAAAACAACAATTGAAAAATTAGGCAAAAACGGTTCCGTTTTTAACATCCCCCTACAATCAACAAAAAAAATTTATTTAAAAGTGGCAAAAAACAAAAAGACATTCGTGCCAGCAGAACTTTTCTGGAACGGTTCAACAAAAACAACAATGCTGTGGACCCAAATTTACAAAAAGAACTTTACCTCCCACGCATGCGGACCGACACAAAACATCCTCTTTCGATTTTTACACTACAGTCTACCTTTTGCGGCCTTGCCAGCCAAAAGCACAAGGCAACAGATCGTTAAAAACAACAAATGCAAAACTTGTGGTAAAGTCGAGGACAATCTCCACATATTTGCCTACTGTCCTCCATCTATTGAAATATGGGAGTATTTAAAACATGTATATAACTCCTTGACATCCCAAAACAACTTTTCTCCGATAAATTTGATTTTCTCTATTGAAACCGCGAATTTATCGGAAAAAAACTCTACCTCGCAGCTGCTGCTAATACTCACTCAAACCATCATGAGTGAGATATGGAACAGCAGATGCCACCACATGTTCAACAATTCTAAAATCATCCCTATGGCAGTGATCAGGGTAATAATCAGGAACAT